ATCTTGATTCCTTACTTGCATTCTCACTCATCCCAGATGCAGACACTTTGGTCTGAAGCTCTTACACTGACAAAAATATACACTTGTAGAAGAAAGTGAAAAATCAAGTCCTGATGCAAAACAGAAGTGTCCAATAGAAACTGGGACAGGGCACCGAGGACTACAGTATCCAAAGTAGTTGCACATTTCTCCATGGAAAAGAAAACTTTACCTACAAATCAAATCACCGAAGCAGCAAAGGAAACAAATTTATGTATTTGATTGAAAGACAAACATTTCTACTTGGAGGTAACAAATTACTAACATACTTTTTAATGAAGGCTTTGTTCCTAAAATAAATGATGGTCAAATGTTTCCACAATCTACAGCCATATCCAGCCTACTGTGATGCAATTAGCGAGATCCTTGCAGTACTTAACAAAATTGCATTCTGATGTGGTGTTTCCGGTACACATTAAAACCCAGGTATGGTGTTGTCCTATTAGAGCAATATGAATTAGGAAACAATATTGACAAACATTAGGAAACAATACTGAATATTCCAATAATCCAATCAATGCAGTAGAGTAATGAAACAATAGCTGATTTAAATGTAGCATACTAATTACATACGAACAACATAGTAACATACTAATTACTTCAGAAATTCTTTTCTCAAAGGAGTTAACATTTCAGGTCTGCTGATCCTTCCTCTGAACTGGAAGGGTCTGGAAAGGTTCTGAGGAAGGGTCACCGGACCCGAAATGTTAAGTCTTATTTTTTCTTCACAGATGCTGCCAGACCTGCTGAGCTTTTCCACTAACTTTTGTTTCTGTTCCTAATTTACAGCATCCGCAGTTCTTTCAGTTTTTATCCTTTTCTCAAAAATTGGTAGTTTGTCACATGTAGTTATTGTCTGGATTGTTTCAGAACACAGTACTAGATACCTTTATGCAGAGTCATGGGGAATTTTGCGACATTTGCAATTTTGTGAATTATTATCCAACAATCCATAAAAATAATAGTTTGTAACTGCAAGGTTTACATCCAAAACCTCCTAACTTCTGTGGAGATGCCAGAAGAACAAGGAACTGGGAATCAGTATATCTGATCTGAGCCACTAGCACAACAACAACAACATTAAATATCAACAGAAAAATGGCTGGACATCACAGCGGGTCAGGCAGCATCCATGGAGAGAGAGAGAGAGCAAGCTAACGTTTTGAGTCTAGATGCCTTTTCATCAGAGCTCTCCATGGATGCTGCCTGACTTGCTGTGATCTCCAGCAATTTTTGTTTTCAGTACAGATTCCAGCAGCAGCAGTAATTGCTCCAACATTAAATATCATCTGTAAAAACAATACGTCTCAGAATGCCTGACCGACAGTTGATCACGATTTAAGGCAGAGAAAAATGCTTTGAAATGCTATCAAATATACGTATGACTTCAATGCTTCATAATGGGTTAAATTACAATAACTTTTGTTTATATTTGGCATCACTTTCAAATGTCATCCATCATTTTTTTTTAAAATCTTCGAAATATTGTGGAAGCAGATTCAGTATAAGCAAATGCTGACTTGTTACTCCACGGTCCATTCATATTTAGGGACAGAAAGGAAGTTTCTAGGAAAGAGAAAAGAACAGTCCCAGAAATTAAACCATTCACCAAATGTGACTTACAGGTGCCAAGATGATCTAACAGAAAGGAGGATTACAGGTTTACGTAGCATTTTATCACAGAGCAGGCCAGAGAAGACAAAAGATTTGGAGATGTTCCTTCTGCAAGTATGAAGGAAGTGAATAAACTTGAGGTGATCTGTCAAGAGAAACACATGTACCCAATTAAAACATGCAAAATAAATCAGGAAAATCATGCATTAAAATAAAAACATCTAAGTGCACTCTTTCCTTTCTTTCACACATTTACCAATGAACAAATTAATTTATAAAATTAATTATAAAATTAAGGAGTGCTCTCTGTTTGTAAAATTAGAATAATCCTTGAAATGTACAATACTTCATTCTCTTCAAGTGTACAGAATCACACAACAGGTTTGCTTACCAGAATGTAATTAGCACAGGTTTTATACTTTCATAATACAGAAGAAAATGCACTCAAGTAAAGCCAAACCAAAAAGAACTATTCAAATGGAAGAATTAAAATAATATAGTCTGGTAATTTTGTTCCATTTCATTTAAATCTTATTCTCTACTGGTTTGTAAAATAGATTTTACTGATAAACAATTACTTAACTTTAAAACAATGTTAATGGTACTGAGATCCACTCAAAATATGCTACAGTGATAGTAGAAACTGCCAATGCTGGAGAATCTGAGATAACAAGGAATAGAGCTGGATGAACACAGCAGGCCAAGCAGCATCAGAGGAGCAGGAAAGCTGACGTTTCGGGTCTGGACCCTTCTTCAGAATTGGGGGTGGAGAAGGGGATTCTGAAATAAATAGGGGTGGAGAAGGGGATTCTGAAATAAATAGGGCGGGGAGGGGGGTGGAGGCGGATAGAAGTTGGATAAAGGAGCAGATAGGTGGAGAGGAGATGGACAGGTCAAGGAGGCGGGGATGGAGCCAGTAAGGGTAAGGGTGAGTGCAGGTGGGTAGTTAGGATGGGAGTTGGTCAGTCAAGGGGGACAGGTCAAGCGGGCAGGGATGAGGCTGGTAGGTAGGAGGTGAGGTGGGGGTGGGGGTTGAGGTGGGAGAAAAGACGGAGAGGTCAGGGAGGCGGGGATGGAACCAGTAAAGGTGAGTGTAGGTGGGGAGTTAGGATGGGGGTAGGTCAGTCAAGGGCAGATGGACAGGTCAAGGAGGCAGGGATGAGGATGGTAGGTAGGAGGTGAGGGTGGGGGCTGAGGTGGGAGGAGCGGATAAGTGGGAGAAAGGACAAACAGGTTAGGGAGGCAGGGACGAGCTGGGCTGGTTTTGGGATGCGGTCAGGGGCGGGGAGACTTTGAAGCTTGTGAAGTCCACATTGATACCATTGGGCTGCAGGGTTCCCAAGCAAAATATGAGGTGCTGCCTCATATATGAACAGCAACGTTACTGATACCGAGACCCACTCAGAATATGCTACACAGATAGTAGGAACTGCCGATGCTGGAAAATCTGAGATAACAAGGAGTAGAGCTGGATAACTCGGCCTCCACAACCTTCTAAGGCAAATTCACCACTCCAGCTGAAGAAATTTCCCTTCATCTCAGCTCTAAAGGGTCATCCTTTCATTCAGAGGCTATACCCTCAGGTCCTGGTATCTCCTACTAGTGGAAATATCTGTACAAGTCCACTCTACCCAGGCCTCTTAGTATTCTGGAAGTTTCAATTAAACACCCAGCCCCATCTTTTGAAAATCCTTCGAGTACAGACCTAGAGTCCTCAACAGTTCCTTGTATGACAAGCTCTTCATTCCTGGGATCATTCTTGTGAATGTCCTCTGCACGTCCTCCCTTGGATATAGGGCCCAAAACTACCCGCAATGTTCCAAATGTAGTTTGACTAGAGCCTTATACAGCCATCCCTCCTCTTGTACTCCAGCCCTCTCAAACATTGCATTTGCGTTCTTAACTGCCAACTGAACCTGCACGTTAGCCTTAAGAGAATCCTGAACTAGAACTCCCAAGTTCTTTTGTGCTTCAGATTTCTGAAGACTTTCACATTAAGAAAATAATCTATGCTTCTATTACTCCGACCATAATACATAACCTCTTACTTTCCCACATTGTATTCTAACTGCCACTTCTCTGCCCACTGTCTTAGCCTGTCACTCAATGATTTGGCCTCCACAGAGTTCTGTGACAGCTGAAATTACAACAAAAAAGTGCTGTAGAATTTTCTTGAACAATAGTTAAAAAAATCTTAGAAGTGAGATTCCATGCTGAAAAATTATTTTTCATTGGAAACAGAATCTGGCATCTCACGGAGAACATTTAAATTTTTAACACTATTTAATGCATTTCCCAGAATGGAAGCTGATTAGCTGATTACTATTAATTGTCACTATTTGAACATGAAACAATTGCATCCATAAAGCTTAGCATATGGTTTATCATACACTTGACTCTAATATAATTAGAACAGGCAAAACAGTCCAAGGAAAGAAAATAAAGAAATATATAAGTTGTCAAGGGGTCCACAGCATTTTTAACTACCGGATCACTATGGACTCAAGGTCTTGAAAAAAGTTGTTCTAATCCATCATAAAAACACATAACCATTCATTCACTTGCAAATACATATAAATTGGGAGGCAAGTACACTCACAGAAATGGCTCATTTATGCCTAAAAGAACATATAAAATTAGGATTTTTGGTAGAAGAACACTGAAGATAGGTTACACATTTTGGTTGTTTAGGCTTTGATATTTCAAATGAAAATACCTTGTTCTAACTTGACAATTCCAAAATAAGAAACTTCTGTGCTCATATAAATCATGGCTAATTGATATATTTAAAAAAGGTAAAAATGTAACAACATGCCACAGATATTAAAGTATTTATTTAGCAGCATAAGCTCAATAAAAACACCCTAAGGCATTTCCCATAAATGCTATCAACCAGAATTTTACACCAAGCCACAAAAAGAAATAGTTATGAACAAAGGTCTTAAACAGGTTTAGCTGTGACTCAGTCTTTAGCACTCTTACCTTCATGTCAGAAGGTTGTGGGGTCAACACCCACTGCAGACAAATACAAAACCAAGGACGATCCTTCAGTGTAGTACTAAATAAGCACTGTATTGTTGAAGGTGTTAAATCAAGACCCTATACTGCATTAAAAACCTCATAGCATTGTATTAAAAAAGATCAGGAAGTTGTATTGGTCAATATCTGTTCCTCAATCAATGTCCAAAAATCAGATTTGCTGTTTTTCACCACACTTCTTTATCAGGTAAGTGTTTGTAAAACACCTTCAAAATGTTTTAAGGTAATGGCAGAATTATTTCATACAATTCAATATACATCCCAATTTCACTAGCAAATCTCAACATATTTGACAAAATAATTGACAGCAATTAATTGTTATTCATATAAATACGAATATTGTCTTTTCAAATACAGGGTGTTGATTTTTGATCTGTTTCCTGTCATGGTGGCACCTTCTTTCAGGAGGGAGCTTTTAGATGTTCTCACAGGATCAGGGCCTGTTCAATGTCACACCATATTGATGGTGGAACTTAGTTTTAAATTGCAGATTTCATAAATTCAATTAAAGTTTAGTAATGGAGACCATGTAACTATCAGATTGTTTAAAAAGGTTACCATGACAAACTTCTACACAGATGTCCTGCAGCTGATATGACTGACCCCCAACAACCACAACTATCTTCCTTTGTATTAAATACAACTTTAACTAGCAGAGATTTCCCTTTACTCCCATTGACTCCCATTGACTCCAGTTTTGCTTGAGTACTTCATGCCACACAGGGTCAATTGCAGCCTTGATGGCAAATACAGTCATTCTTATTTGACCTCATGGGCCATTTAGCTCATGGCCCTTTTATAGCCTCGGTTCAAAATGAAAAAAGTGCTGACTTATTTGACCTACGAGATCTCTGCCTCACCACACACTTCGTCTTTAATGGTCAAGTATACAAACAGATCAACAGTACACCAATGGGGACACCCATCTCAGGACTCATTGTAGAAGTAGTCATGCAAAGACTAGAACACACCACCCTCCCCCACATTCGACCTAAACTGTGGTTCCGGTACGTAGACGACACATTTGTCATTATTAAACGCAACAAATTCGAAGAGACCCAGCACCTTAACAGCGTATTCGCAGGGATTACATTCACAAGGCAAGGAGAAAACAACAATCAACTTCCGCTTCTGGATGTTAAAAGTTGAGCGTATGACTAACGGGGAGATCCAAACCTCAGTATACAGAAAAGCAACCCATACTGATCAAATCCTCAACTTCCACAGCAACCACCCCAACACCCACAAACAAAGCTGCATTAGGGCACTATCTAAACCGGCCAGGACACACTGCAACACCCTGGAACTATGCAGCAAAGAGGAAGAGCACTTATACAAAATCCTCGCTATAAACGGATATCCCCACAACTTCATCAGCAGATGCCTACTAAACACACAACAACAGAAGGACACAGTACACCCTAACACACTGGCCACAATGCCATACATCAAGAACATATCAGAACTGACAACAAGACTTCGAAGATCGCTAGGGATCATGGTGGCCCATAAGTCCACAGCCAGTCTACGACAAATACTTACAAGGATTAAAGACCCCATTCCCACAACATGCAGAACCAACGTAGTTTACAAAATACCATGCAACAACTGCCACAAACATTACATCAGACAGACAGGATACATGAACATCAACTAGCAGCAAAACGGTATGATGAATCTTCCTTAATATCAGTACTCAGACAATGAATGCCAGTTTAACTGGGACAAGGTAACCATAGTAGCCCAAGCCAAATACAGACACGCACAGGAATTCCTAGAGACATGGCTCTCCATTCATAATGCAATCAACAAAGCCTTAGAATTGGACCCCATATACAAACCCATACAGATCAAAACCGTAAATGACACTACTCTACTCACCATAACAGACCAAACAGTCTAAATTCCAAGCTGAGTCCAATAACACTGCTTCATCGGAGGCTCCACTGATGATGTCACCTAGCTTGGCAATCAAACGACTGAATGAGAACAAGCCAGCTTGGCAAGCAAGTCAACAACCTCACCCACAACCGGAGCTACAGATCTTTGCCAAAACTTTATTTGGCCTTCATTTTGAACAAAGTGGCCAATGAGCATCAGTAAGCA